GACTAAAGTAGAAATTAAGGGAGGGATAATTTTGTGTTGACTTTCCAAAAATATCCTTGATGTGATGGGTAAAAGTAGGATGTGATGTGTAGATTATTAGAAAAAAGGTATGATGTGATAGGTAAGGTTTGAAAAAGTAAGGAGTAAAAGTGGTTTTTTAATAGAAATGGGTAGGAGATTGTGGGACACAATTTGTTTGAAAGATGTAAATCTTTTTGGGACGGAGGGAGTATAACTTTTGATATAGTTTTAGAATATACTCCGTATATATTTATTTTAAACTTTTTCACTTATAATCAAACAAATTGAATTGAAAAGAGTTTCAGTCAAATCTCTAAACTCAAACACGTAGCTAGTCTCAGGAAGAATAAAGTATTTAAGTTGTCTCTTATTTTGTACAAAAGATTTAAATAAAAACAACATTGTGTGATTAAAATGTAAACATATAACCATTTCTTAAGTAAAATAGTACTCCCTTCGTTCCTTAAAACCATTCTTATTTTGACTTTCGGCCAAAATAAAGAAAATGTAATTTTGGCCCACTTTCTTATTTTACCCATGATGTGATGGGTAAGAATAAGATGTGATAGTTTCGAATAGAACTTTTTAATTTGCAACATTCAAAAAGAGGAGTGTGAAATAAGTTGGGTTAATGTGAATTAATGAACAAATTAAAGGTAGTAGTGGACTCAGGCAATTTAATTAGCATCACCAAACAGTTCAAGTTAGGCCCGTTTTGCAATTGTAATTAAAACGGCGTTTTTCATTTTCTTTAAATAATCACACTTTTTAATTTAATCGCATGATGTCTATTTCATCAAACTAGTTTGTGACTAGCTAGTACGTGAACGTGATATGACCTAATCCTAATTTCTCGTGTACGGAAACAAATAGAGAAACCCAAATGTCTATTTGTCATTGCCTCTTAGCCATACCAAAAGTAATGTCTCTTTATTTTGTGCATTTATTGTCTAACAATTTTAAGAAATTAAATAACCACACGTTGTAGGGGTACATGCATGCACCGGACTAAATTTTTAAACACCCATTAAAAATACTCTTAACTCAAGAATGAATATTTTCTATTAAATTATTATGGGAAATTACATGTGTATATACAAGGATTTCCTAATGACAATAGGAAACAATAATTAATACACCCTATACAAATATGGTAGCTACCAATATACATCAATATTAAATATAGTAAGAATATATTTAACATGCTCCCAACGGCGCTAATGAAGATCGCCGCATGCCCAGACACTCTCGAAGCTCAGAGAAGACCATGTAGGGTAGTCCCTTGGTGAAGATGTCTGCATACTGTAGGGAAGAGGGCACATGAAGGACTCGTATCTGACCAAGGGATACTCTATCACGCACAAAGTGAATGTCAACCTCAATATGTTTCGTTTGCTGATGCTTGACAAGATTGGCAGAAAGGTAGACAACACTGCTGTTGTCACAGAAGACCAGTGTAGAGCGGGTCAGAGGTTGCCGAAGTTCTAAAAGAGGATTGTACCCAACTGACTTCAGCAACGACATTAGCGACATCTCGATATTCTGCTTCAGCACTGGACCGAGAGGTGGTGAGTTGTCGCTTGGAGGACAAAGGAGATGAGATTGTCGCCGAGAAAAATGCAATAACCGGATGTCGATCGGCGAGTATCTGGGCAGCCAGCCCAATCAGCATCAGAATACGCCCGTATATGATCCGTCTGAGAAGGTGATATGGTGATGCCATGGGTAGGTGTACCGTGTAGATAGCGTAGAACGCGCTTCATGGCTGTGACATGTGGCACACGTGGATCATGAAGAAATAGACATATCTGCTGTACGGCATAGGTAATATCTGGGCGGGTGAAGATGAGGTATTGCAGTGCTCCCACAATAGAGCGATATAGAGAGGGATCTGGCGCTGGAGGACCAACGGTGGACGAAAGCTTCTCGCGCGTGTCCACTAGTGTAGAGACAGATTTGCACGAGGTCATGCCGGCCTGTTCGAGGATGTCATAAATGAACTGAGTCTGAGTGAGGAATAGGTCGTGAGAGGTCCGCTGGACATTGATCCCAAGGAAGAAGTGAAGGTCACCCATATCTGTCATAACTAACTCCCCTTTTAGCCGTTTTGTGAGCTGGTGAAGGAAGGCAGTGGATGAAGCCGTGAGGACAATGTCATCAACATAAAGCAGAAGGAGAGCCATGTCCTGGCCGCGATTATAGACAAACAAGGAGGTGTCGCTCTTACACTCACTGAAGCCAAGAGAAAGGACAAATCCCGTGAATCGCTGGTATCAAGATTGGGGTGCTTGTTTGAGTCCATAGAGTGCCTTATTTAATTTACAGACGTAATGTGGGCGAGCAGGGTCCTGAAATCCCAAAGGCTGAGAGGTATAAACAGTATCTGAGAGGTAGCCCTGCAAGAAAGCATTTTTGACGTCGAACTGGTGGATCGGCCATCTTCTAGACACGACAAGGCTCATGACGATGCGTATAGTGGCCGGTTTGACAACCGGGCTGAAGGTCTCGTCGTAGTCGATGCCATGGCGTTGATTGAATCCACGAACAACCCATCGAGCTTTGTACCTGGACAGTTCACCTGGACGAGGTTTGTGGCGGAAGAGCCATTTTCCGGAGATTACATTTTGGTCGGGGGAGGGGGGGTACTAGATCCCATGTATGATTAGCTATCAAGGCATTATATTCATCTAGCATAGCATTGTACCAGTTAGGATCTTTGAGAGCACTACGGTAGGTAGGGGGTATGGGGGAGATGGATGCAACGGTGTTTAGGTTTAGGATTTGTTTGG